GTGATAATGATGATAATGACGGTGATGGCGGTTATGATGATATTGATGATGATGATAATTGACGTTGCTGATGATAATGATAGTAATGATGACTATGATGTTTGTTTAAGTAGTAGTATAGTAGTAGTAGTAGTAGTAGTAGCAGCAGCAGCAGCAGTAGTAGTAGTAGTAGTAGTAGCAGTAGTAGTAGTAGCAGCAGCTGTAGTATATAGTAGAAGCAGAGTAGCAGTAGTAGCAGTAGCAGCAGCAGCAGCAGTAGTTGTGGTTCGTCTTTCTTACCTGACGAGAAATATCAAATATGAAGTGAAAATGAGTAGAACTACAGTTGATAAAATCCAGGCAACTATGTACATGGTACATTTACATCCTGTAAGAAGAATCATTATTCAAAATAATTACTTACAATGTGTGACGTAGGGTGATAATGTAGTAAAATAACAATATATATGATTATAGATAATAAATAATTATGTAATTAATTATTTAGATATTACGTAATTATGTGAATGTGTAATATAAATAGTTAGTTGCAATTATGTAAGGCTAATAAAGTATATTTAGTTTAAACCAAATTGTATTCGTATACGCTTAAATCTCAATCGAAAATTAAACATGCTAAGACAATTTTGAAATTTAGGGTTTCACTTCATTTCTGAATTGGATAAATAAATAAATGGTTTGTTGCAATGTAAATGTAAGGTATTATTTAGTTAAAAACCAAATTGTATTCGTATGTGCTTAAATCTTAATTGAAAATACACAAATCAATCGTGATGTTTGTAGTCTATGAGTGAGATACTTACCTGGATAAACCGACTAATTGCCATTGTTCCCAAAATGGAACACCTCTTCGAAATAAAATGGAACAGTACGACTCAGGGCGCCACAAAAGAACTGTCTCCCTAACAAACGTCCTCATTCGGTTTATCCTGGTATGTATTCACGAAACTTAAGACTTAAACATGCTAAGAAAATTTTGAAAGTTAGGGTTTAACATCTCTTCATCTATGAATTGGATGAATCACACACAATAGGGTGTAAATTTGAGGGTCAATTGCTTAAGTCCCAGTTATAGATGGATAAAAATGACACTTTGCAGAATAGTTTTTCATGATGAAATAAAAAACTGAACCAATTTTGGTGACGATCCGCAGTAGGGTGTGGATATGAGGACCATTCTAAAGTTTTTTTGTACACAGTTGATTAAATTATTTAAACGCAATTTGCGTTTTCTAAAGCGCATAAACCAGTTACAGCAACAATGTTTGCTTTCAGTCATTGAATCGCTATGAACTGAAAATGCATTTTTCTGTTCATGGTCGACTCATGTGGTGCGCAATGGTTATGAGTCACGATGTATCTCGCTATTACCATTGCAGCCATAGTTCAAGTCTCACTAATAACGTCGCAGTGAACTTGGTTTTCGTTTTTTTTTTTTTTTTCATTTCCTTTTTTTTTGTCCACTTCATTAACATTATATTGGTTTTCCGTGTTTTTATTTTACTTCATACCTTTTAACGACTTTCCTTTTTGTTGCAATTTGAACTTCATTCCTCATTAAAGCAATTGGGAAAAGCCCTATGTTCTTGTCCAAATAGACATAGTAAGTGTAGTTGAAATACTTTCCTAAAGCAATGGTAATTAGAACCCGAAGAAAGTTACTTCAAATTCAATATTAAGTATGAACAATTAAAGCATTCCTTGAATCAATTTACCCTAATAAACTAAACGAACTGAACGTTTAATAGGAATATTCCAAACCTATTTTAAAGACTCAATAAACGAAATTAAAAGTAGGGCTAGGCCTACGACCAGGGAGGAGGCCGCCGTGGCCTTCTCCTACTTAAGTAGGCAGGCCGTAGCAAGAGTAGTTATGAAATCATCGCACGATTTTTACCTGTCTTCATTGACCAAAAAGTCAGTGACTGTATTCTTTCTCAAATGCTTTTAGAAATGTTTATTTCTTAAACGAATGTCTATCAAAATAGCATTACAAACAAGTTCTTCTAACACAATACAAATTACAATAGCAATTCATCGTATCCGCACAGCAGCTAAATGTAAATATGCACAAAGTATACTGCTCATATCACTATAGCAAGCGATGACTGCTACAACATCAAAATTAAAACTAAAAAGACGGCGATTGACTTATAAAGTAATTAGTAGATCATCCATCGTAGACTAGCGGAAATTATTATACTTAGGTTAGATTTAATGGATTCAAAAATTTCCTTCAGGCTTTGCAGGCCCTCAGGAATTTTTTTTTTCAAGCATTAAATTTAACCTTCGGCGGCGGCGGCAGCGGCAGCAGCAGCAGCAGCAGCATATGCCCTGCAGTAGTAGTGGTGGTGGTGGAGATGGTGGTGGATGTTGATAGTGGTGGTAGTGGTTTTGGTAGTGGTGGTTGGTGGTGGGCCTAATAGTAATAATAATAATAATAATCAAGGATTTAAGCCTACACAACATAATTAGCCTATATACATACATAAATAACAATAAAATAATAGTAATAGTTATTATTATCATAATAATTATAATGTAGGTGGTCTTTAGTGTATCGGAATAAATATTTAGTTTTACTGTGTTTAAGAAATTCATTTTATCATTGATTTTATTTAATAATAAACGCTTCACGGGTAATAATGTATCGGAAATCATGAAGACATACAGAAAACAGTAACAGGAAATGATACGGTAACATTATAATTTCGTATCTTTTTAAAATGGCGAGGTCTTATATAAAAAAAGTCCCACTGGTTACCTGAAATCAACTATATGTTTATTATATTTCAGTTTATTCGTAGTCATCATCATCATTATCATTTCAGAATTACAATAAAAAATAGGTTCCAAGTCTGTGGTGTTTCAACTATTGCACTCTTCCTCTATAAGGATTCCCGGTGAAACATATTTTTGCAACATTGCCACTACTGAAACTTTGCTTATCTCGCATCGCATATTAACGGCATGTATCAAAACCGCTCTTTTGAAATTAAGAAACTACTAATGAACAGTCATGAGTTTATTGCCGAATCAGGAAGGTGATATTTTGAATGTATCGCACCAATCGCAACATCGAACGTTCAGAAAAAAAAATTACAGCTCGGTTAACAGATTCCTTACACTTTAGACAGTAGTACTTCATTCGTACAAATCCATTTTATTCTGTTATTTAATTTTATAATTTCTTACTCATTTTAGAAGGCATAAACAAGAGGCTGTCCAATATATCGTTTAACAAAGCAGCTTCGACGAAACTAACAAACCGTACCAGGAGCCCTCAACTAAAGTGAATTTAACATAGGGCTTTCTTCGTTTCGATAATGAGAAGTGATGGTCAAATTGCAACAAAAAAGTCATTAAAAAGTATAAAGTAGAAAATGCACGAACAAAACAGTAAACATTATCAAAGAAAAGTATGAAGAAAAAAAAAATTAAAAAAATAAAACCAACTTCACGACTAACGCGTTTATGCAATAGAGGACACATGATTTTATGTCGCTATGAAACGGCCCTGAACGGCCCTTGATTAAAAATAAAAAGAAAATAAGAAAAAATTGAGGCCAAGGCAAAATGTTAACTGAGGCTTTTTTTTTTATCTGTACTTTGTGCGGTAAGTGTGACGTAATACTACACAATACCCTCTTTATTACAGTACAGTAATATGAGCTGTAAAATAATAATATCCGATGTTTGAAAGTGTGTAAATATAGGAACAAAATAAGAACATTTTGAGCTTGAAATCGGCAAAAAAAAAAAACTTAAAATCGGCAAAAAAAAAAAAAAAAAAAAATTACTGGTTCTTATTAAAAAAAAAAATGTATATGTTGAGGTAGGATAAATGAAGTAAAGCGATTAATCTATAATGCCTTACTAATTACTGTATATTTCTCTTAGAATTTTATTTGTGACATGTTGAAGGTATAGGAAATGGAAGTTTTTACACAGATTAGTAAACACTCTTTGTGAATATGCTGCAACTATTATATATTAATATACTTAAAGCTGGTAGAACTCATAAAGTCTGAGCCTCGCTGATGCCACAAAGTGATTATTAGGAGAGGGACAGCTAACCACATTGAAAACTTCAACAGATATTAGGCCATATAGTAGGCCATGTTAAACAGAAAGTTAGTGTTATCTGCACATATTCTGTAATTCTAGTCATATTATTTGTACAGGTTAGTTTATCTTTGAGGCTGATTTTCTCAAAACGTGGTTCTTATACACCTAAACTTTAAATGCTCACATCTCTGTATCTACTTATAGTAGGGAAGCCATTCAAAGACCAAATGAAAGCTTATAATGAGATCTACCCAAATATAATATAAACTCAATTTTTGAATTTCTAACCATGAGATTTTGTGGCGAGACCCATAGGCAGTATCAGAATCCAATGATTAACTGCAACACAGCATGGCAATACGCTGCAACAACATCAATGACGGTATAACGAATTATGTTGATATGGCTATTGATTATGAAGAGAGCAGCTAAAAAAAAGCATGTATGAAAGGTCATCAATTATGATTTGTTTGTATATAAGCCCAGTGTCCACATAATTACATATACAGTGATGATTGCATTAGCGAGTCAATCATTCATAGTCCTTTAAATAACTGGGTTTTCTAACAGTTCATTTAGTTTTTCTGGTTTGGTGCTGAGTTCTTGTCTTATGTTGCATGGTGTTCTGTTTCACATTTTTGTTTACTTGTTGAGGTTGTGGATTAAGGTGGATTGTGTTCTTGTTTGAAACATCTTGGTTGGTTGCTGGTACTTTTCGCAGGAAACGACGGTTACTGCGTAGCGTCCGTCCAGCCTGATTAACAACATTGTAGGAACGTTTGTTCACTTGTGATGTTACTGTAGTGTCATGCCATTTGGTTTTGCCTTGCTCAATTGGCTGCATACGAACAGTATCTCCTATTTGTAGTAGTTTTAACTGTGGTCTGTTGCTGTGTTTCTTTGTTGACAATTGGCGCTTGGCACGTAGTCTTTCAATGTCGTCGTTGATTTCGTACATTGGTGTGAGAGTTTTGTTTTGTTGGAAGTATGGTCTTTGGTTTTCTTCCCATTAATCTCTCGGTGGGTGTTGTCGTCATACTCTCCGTTTGTGTATTTCTGATGTTCAATAATCCCATGTATGGATCTTCACCAGCACTGGCGCATTTCTTCATAAGGCGTTTAGCTACTTTGACAGCAGCCTCTGCTGCCCCATTGGATTGACTGTTACCTGGACTAGACAAGATATGCTGGAATCCCCATGCTGTGCTAAAAGCTTTGAAGTTGTTCGATGAGAACTGTGGTCCTCCATCGCTGACCACCTGATCTGGAATTCCATGACGCACGAAGTGGTGTTTCAATTTGGTGATAACAGTCGATGAAGATGTGTCTGTTAAGTAATCAAATTTAAAAAAGGTACTGAAGTAACCCACAGTAACAAGGTAATTTCTCTCATTTATGACAAACAGATCGACTGCTACTCGCTCCCATGGTCTTGTGGCTAGAGGATAACTAATTAGTGGTTCTTTGGGCTGTTTGTTGTAGCCATGTTGCGCACATATGTCACAGGTTTCGACAAATTGTCTAATCTCTTTACTCATACCAGGCCAAAAAACTAAGTCTCTAGCTCTCCTCAGACAGGCGTTAATTCCCATATGCCCTGTATGGACCTTGTTTTTAATATCCTTTCTCATATTGGTTGGTATGATGATCCGCTCACCTCTCATAAGAATGTTATCCTGTATGGACACCTCATCTCTGTTATTGAAATATGGAATTAATCTGGAATCTAGCAGGCCTTTATCATTAGGCCAACCACTTTTGACTACTTGGCTGAGCAGACAGTGTTTCATCTTCAGAAGTTGCCTTCCGTATTTCATCCAAACGCTCCGGTGTTACTGCAGTGAATGCCAGATTGCTTATAGCAAACACAGTATCTTCAGCAATTAGTAAAGGTGCTCTTGACAATGCATCAGATAATATCATTTTAGCACCTTGAACGTAGATAAGATTGAAGTCATACTCTTGTACCATGAGAAGTAGATTCTGTAGCCTTCGTGGCGCTTTATTTAGGCTCTTTTTGACAATGCCTGTCAATGATTTATGGTCAGTTTTAACAATAACCTTTCGACCATAGGTATAGTGATGAAACTTAGTTAGCCCATATGCAACTGTAATCATTTCCTTTTCAATTTGTGCATAACGGCATTCGGTGTCATTCAATGTCCTACTTGCAAAGGCAATAGGTCTCCCATTTTGCATGATCACTGACCCCAGACCAAACTCACTAGCATCATTTTCCAGCACTAACTCTTTTTCTGGATCAAAGAAAGCCAATATTCTAGGCGTTGCTATCATGCGTTTAATTTTCTCAAACATGGCTTGCTGAGGCGGTCCCCAGATCCATTCTGCATCTTTCTTAGTAAGATCTTGTAATGGTTTTGCTGCATCATGTAAGTGTGGTAGGAACTTGGAAAAATAATTGACAATGCCTAAAAATCTACAAACTGCTTTAACATTTTCAGGTGGAGGCATATCACAGATAGATTTAATCTTCCCTGGATCAGACTGCAATCCCTCTTTGGTTATCTTATGACCCATAAAGGTAATCTCCTCCAATTCTTTTTCAAACTTATCAGCATTCAATTTGATTCCAACATGCTACATCGGTGTGCAAATTTTTGTCATGTTCCTCTTTCGTTGATCCATGAATATCCACGTCATCTGCAACACATACTACTCCATTCAAGTCATGAAGTGCTTCAAGCAACTTCCTCTGGAACATCTCAGATATGGATAGGCCAAAGGGTAATCGGTTCCACTTATAACGGCCATAAGGAGTCTGAAACGTAGTAAGTAAACTGGACTCATCATCAAGCGTAATATGCCAGTAGCCAGATGAAAGATCTGCTTTACTGAAAATCGTTGACTGACCTAACTCATGTAACGTGTCGTCCAGTGTTGGGAGTGTTTAACTGCTTCGTATCGAGGCACACCCGGATTTCCCCAGACTTTTTAGGAATGACCACTATGGCATTAACCCTCTCAGTAGGTTGTGATACTTTAGAAATTACACCAAGTGATTCTAATCTATGCAGCTCTGCTTTCAATTTTGGCTTTACCGCTACCGGTAGTCGTCTAGTAGACATTATAACAGGTTTTACTTCAGCGTTGACGGTGAGAGCTACTGTTCCTGGGAGGTTGCCAATGGAAGTCTTATCAAATACCTCTTGAAAATCCTCCAATTGAACGATTGCTACTCGTTCTATGTTGTGCTCGTTGACATGAATCAGGTTGAGCCGTTTTAGGTCTTGGTAACCAATCAGTGGGATTCTATCATTTTCGGTAACTACAAATTGAAGGTCATGATATTTTCCATTGGCTGGATTATATACAACTTCCTTGGTGACACCATACGTTTTGAGTTGGGACCCGTCCCAGATTGTTAACGTTTTCTCCTCACGTCTCAGGTTTGATGCATATCGAACTGGAATGGTGTTCACTGTAGCTCCTTTGTCTATGTTAAATACTATGACCTGGTTGTTAATTTCCATCTTACATTTTAAATCATTCTGCTGCTTATCTTCTACCTTACCGATCCATTCACTGACATCACTTGACCCGTCTGCATGAGACTGATGGACATAAGCAACAGTTTTACCCTTGACCCGACGCATTTTATACTTGCTGGCGAAGTGGTTGAGTTTCCCACACCTCAAACACTTTTCCACAAATCAGGACACTTGGTTCTATCCCATATGTGTGATTTACCACAAAATTTGCAAGATCTAAGTTTCTTATCTGGAGTCTTGGTGTGACATTTACCACTTTTACCGTCAGTGTTAACTTTGTTAATTGTATCCTTGACTGACATGGACTTCATTCTTAATTGTGTACTCTCATTTAACCTACAGGTTGTAACTGCATCGTTCAATGTTAAATTAATTTTCTCTAGGAGTTGTTTTCTCGTTCTATCACATCTAATACCGACGATTATTTTGTCTCGAATTAACTCATCTTCCAATGGACCAAAGTCACATGACTTAGCTAGCTCTTTAAGTGTGGTGACATATGTATCAATCACTTCGTCCGTTCGTTGCTCCCGTTTGTTGAACTTATAGCGCTCATATGCGACATTGATTGTCTCTAAAAAGTGTGAATCGAACCTAACAATCACCTCACTGACGGATGGTGCTTCACCGAGGTTAAAGGTATTATAGATTTTTATGGCTTTTGTTCCTATGGTATTGAGGAACACTGCTAACTGAAACTCTGGAGGTGCATTTTGTAACCCGGAGATAATCTCGTAGTTACGGTATAACTGCTTAAATAGCTTCAACTCTTCGGCATTATTACTGTTTTCTAACTGCAGCGGAGCAGGCGGGTGTACACTAATGCGGGATTTTACCTGACTTGCCTGGTGTTGACCGTCACTGTCAGCCTGATTCGAGCTTGGACCTTTGTGTACAGACATTTGAATTTGCTATCAAATCAAAAGGTAGAAACACTATAAAAGTATGTCCTACAATACTGCAAATGGTTCTTCGGAATTTCCACAACACGTTGCCACCATGTATCGTGATGGAGACACTTATATGTAAACAATACAGTCAGGCTACACACAAGCTCATCGTTCAGCCATCATATTTATTGAATAACAACATCAGCGTACCTCAACGTACGAGGAATGTGACCTCACAACTATGGGCGGCCAAACGGGCCATCACGTAACAGGTTGCATAATAATAATAATAATAATAATAATAATAATAATAATAATAATAATAATAATAATAATAATCATAATAATAATAATCATAATATTAATAATAATAATAATAGGTTTACATTATTTAAGTAATAATGTAATAAAGTAATAGTGAATGAAGTACAGTAATTCAATGAATGGCGTAATTAGTTAGTCAATCATGCAATAATTACATAATTCATTTTAATTAGTTAATCGGGCATTTTAGTAAAATACTATGTGAATAATTAATTCATTAATAGTTTTTTAATGGAGTTTAGAGCAAGATTTCTTACTTTTTTCTTCAGTTTCGATAAGTAAACTAGATGAAAAATTTCCATATCCCTTGACATTTTCTGCTGCTACCTGATAAAGTAAAATATAACATATAGATTAAAGTAATTACATTTGTTTAAAACGCAATTAAATGTTAAATTATCTTCTAACGATTGGGTCTGCTATGGGATGAATATTATATACAACGTATGATTAACGGATTGATAGATTGGTAAATCGTCGGATTAACACGAACAATTATTTCTTATTGATTTATAATTTAGATTGAATTATTGATTTTTAATAATCAATTCAATATTTTTTTATTTGGTAATTTATTAATTAATTTAAACATTAAATATTTTTGATTGATTAATTATTTAATTGATGGATTGGTCAAATAATAGACTGAATATCGTTATATTATCTTGCCTTTACGCTATATAGTGTCGTTGGGTAGATGTTTTCGTCTATGTGGAGATACGTATCAATAGTAACTTTGGTGAGTGTCAACAGACACGATTCAATAGACACGTTGTACTGAATTATCTCACATGGACTTATATCAACAGGCGGACTCCAGCGGATGTCGATTGAAGAAGCGGTTGCAGATAATGAAGTTATGTTCGGAATTCCGGGATCTACAATATAAACCTTTAAACAATTACAATTTTGTCTATTTTAAAGAATAACAACATATAGATCTAATCATTCAAATAATAATAACGAAAATAATAGGCTTATGTTATAATGAAAATTTGGTTTGCTTCGTAGCACTGTAAAGAAAATGAACTTTATGAACATATGATTGATTGATTGATTGATTGATTAATTAATTAATTTATTTATTTATTGAATCTGTAATATATAACAAACTTACGAACAAAAACGAAAGTTATATAGAATCACCATAAGATTAGCGTAGGGGAATGAAATCTTCCTTTTCTAACTACAGAGCAATTAGCTTGTTATCTATTGTGGGTAAAACGATGGAGAAAATAGTTTGTGATCTAATGGTGCAGTAAATGGAAGATCAAAAGCTTTTACAGTAGAAGACCCTGCACCACCCAACTTGTAAGTGTTATGTAATGCTAGACTGATCTCCTTGATAAGGGCAACTCCATTGATTGTATTTACATGGATTATAGGAAGACCTTCTACGGAAGCACCTAAGTGCCATTTGACTTAACGACTTGTCAAGATGATTTATGTTGTCAAGACGACATAATATACATATCATGTCGAAATGTCGAGATCAACTATCTTGGCAAGACGACATACAATTTGTATTATGTCGACTTATCAAGATAATCTATCTCGCCATGACAACATAAAATATTTACTATGTCGACTTGGCAAGATAAATTATGTCGCCATGTTTAGAATTAGTCTAGGACCTGACTAAGATTTGTATGTACTTCATTTAGGAGAGAATATCTCAACTGTTATAGACTAATATAAACCCTAGGAATAACATGGGATGTGTGCCGAAATCTCTATCTGGGACGAGCAGCCCGAAAATGACCACGCCCTTTATTAAATTATCACGCCCCTTTTTATACGGTAGGGGTATTTTGAAATTAAGCTCTACGGTATAAGAAAATAGCAAATGAAGGGATTTTTGTTCTAAATGAGCACATATGACAAGGGTATAAAATTCTTAAAATTACA